GGGCACATTGAAATACACATTTTTGGAGGTGTTTTCAGTTACATCCCTTTTTCACATTGCTACAGGTTTATTCTTTGTTGCTAGCACCCATCTGCTCCAAGAGCCTTGTCTGTCCTAGTTTTCTCCCCTGTTAATTCTCCATGTCAGCCAAATACAGCTTTCCTGCATTGCTTCAAAACGACTGATTTCCGAGAGCTTTTCCTTGGCTACAATTGCTTTAAAAAACAGTAGACTGTCCTCACTCACTGAAGAACCACACAGGCAATCAGTCTGCAGTGCCAAACATTTTCTATCCAGCCTTTATTAGAAGCTGAAGCATGGGTTGCACACAGCTGTCACGCTTACAGACAGTTTAGGACTAAGCAGGCATTCATGATTTTAAACGTCATTCACGATCCAGGTAATAACCTCATCAGCACAAATGCTTTGTGTCACAGAGAATTTATTCCTGTTGCGGCAGCACCTTTGCTGGTGAAAATCACATAGCTGACCTACTTTTTTTTCCCCCCCCCCCAGAAAAATATTCGGAACTTTGTTGACTTATTCAGCGCTTGCTGTAGAGCGACGTGGGTGTGCAGGCAGAGTTGCAGAGGTACAAAGGGTAGGTCTTCATTTGGGCTTCTCACATTTGCTTGTTAAAACTGATTCACGTTTGTGGCAGCCCTGCATTTTGTCAGGAGAGAAGCCTCATTATATGCTTATCCCACACCTCTCCCTAGACAACCCTTTTGGTCACTGACGGGCAGAGGGCTTGGTGAGCATCTGAAACGACCCAAGTGTGGCCACCCATCAGCCTCAAGGTGTTGTGGGTGCACTCAGATTTCTTTCCATTGCACAGATTAATCGGGTAAAGTTACCAGTGTGAAACCCTAAAAACAGTTTTAAAGTTTCTGGTTTTATTTCTCTTCCTAATGCTGGATTTGTCAAGCAGTGGAATGGGCTGTCCAGGGATGTGGTCAAGTCTCCATCCCTGGAGGTATTTAAAAGCCAGGCAGACAAGGTGCTTAGGGCCATGGTTTAGTGATGTAATGGCAGTGTTAGGTTAATGGTTGGACTTGATGATCTTAAAGGTCTTTTCCAACCTAAATGATTCTATGATTCTGTGATTCTATGGATAGAGCTACACACAAGTGAAAAGAATGAAAAAAAAAAAATATGAAGGGACAGAAAAGGACAGACTTTACACAGTCCAATGACATGAAGCTATTTCAATCGCGTTAGCTAGTGAAGTTCATCGATCTATTGATGCAAAATAAATGAACAAACTGTGCGTATCTACTTGTGTCTATCTGCTGGCCAGACTGTGAGCTCCAAAAGGCCATCAGTTGCCAGCAGCCAGGATGCCTCTGTTCCCCTGATTTGTCTTTCTTCAGCCTTTGCCGCCAGGTCGGCTAGGAGAGCTAGCATCAAGTCTGAAATCTGTGCCAGGGCAGTGGTGTTCCCCATCTCTCTCCCTCTCCCCCCGTCCCTCGAGTGGCTCTCTCCAGCATCAAGCGGCACTGACAGGAAAACCCAAAGAAGGAGAGCAGATACATACAGCTCCTTGTCTAAGATGGCCCTTGGAGCTGGGCAGGATGGAGATCTTTCTGGGCAGTTCAATTCACCCTACTGGGGACATCTGAACTAGCCAGATGATGGTTCCAGCCCAGAGGTGTCTTTTTCACTCTGAGGGCTGTGAATGGGTCCCATGGTGACTGACTCAGGTGTGGGGAGCCCGCAGCCTGACCCTGAAGGTGAGGAGGGGAAGGTCCCTCCTTCTGTAGCCACATCTCTGCATGTCCTGCACACTTCTCTCTGGTGTGCATTCCTCTTTTGGGGATCTCACTTTGCTCTACCTTGGCTCTGCCTGCCACCTTCAAATCCTCATTGGCTGTGGCTTTTATTCTGGTTTTGCTGGCTTGTTTTCTCACCAAAAATCTTAATTTTAAGAATTCCAGGCAGTTTTTTCAAGTGCATTTGTGTAGGTGTGGATAACAGTCTACATAGAGAGACTTCAAGCATTTACTTAACGTCAATTCCCAGAATAGCCATCCTCCCTTAGGACTTACTGATGACGACAGATTCTTAGGTCATAATTCTCTGTGCTATGAGCAACTAACTCTGATTTATAACCTCAAACGTCCAGAGCAACTGCATGACCCAGTGCCTTGGCTTAGCGTGCTGTTGAGAATGGTTTGCTGGTCAGCACACAGCAGTTAATAGTTTTTGCAAGGGACACCATGCCCAGGGACAGCAAGTGTGCAAGTTCAGCCCTTCATGCGTTGTCCCCTCGGGGTTAGACTGCTGTCAGCCTGGCTTTCCTGCTCCGTCACAGCTGTTTTTCTCAACGCCAACAAGCAGACCATTTCAACAGACGGGTGCAAGCTGTTCCCAGGAGTTTGGGCTGCTGTGCCTTGCCAGGCTGAGTGTCCCAATCAGGTTTTGCAGCAGAGGATGCCACGGCACCCACACCCTCCCCCCTTACTAAGATAATTTCCATTCATAACTTTTCTTGCAAAGCCAAATACAGCCCTGGGAGGCTGTGGCGGGGGAAGCGCTGCAGGACCACTGGCCCGCGCCTGCCTCACTGGCACAGCCCCGGTGGAGAGACCCGGGAGGGTGCGACAAAAGCAGCAAGCAGTTACCCACCCGAGCCTGCCCTGCTGAAATACCCGTGTGCCCCCTTACACGCTGCGTGGCACACCTCGGCATGTACCTCTGCAGAAGGAAGAAGCCTCCTGGTGAATACGTGTGGCTCTGTGAGAGCTCTGCCCCAGAAAAGCGCTGGCTCTGGCAGCCTAATTTTGGCCCTGCAGGTGATTTCCCACAGCACTAATGAGGGTTACCCTTTGCAGCATGGCTCTGTTTCCACTCTTTCTCCTAAGGAGACTCCTGTGAAGGCTCCCTTACCTGGTGAATGCACCTGGTTGTTGCACCAGGTTTTGCAGTGCAATATTATCGTGATGACCCTGTGCTTAGGCCTTCCAAATTCACCTGGGCCACAGCACCAAACCTTCCTTCACAAAGACCTTCAAAGCCCTTCAGTAGACTCGTCAGTTCATTGCTGATATTACAACCGATAATCCTACCGTATTCAAATTGTATTACAGGGCCCATTGTAAGTGCAAGGTAATGAACTTTTATGAATGACTAATTTCTACCTGCTTGGATCAATTTACTCATCACAAAAGCGTACTTGGAGAAACCTCTAAGGAGGCACGCGTCTCCACCGTTTTCTCTCTCCCTCCTTGCAGGAGAAAT